TTTTTTTTTTTTTTTTTAATTTAAGTGGGGTCAACTTGATTTTAAAAAGAAATGAATAGCAAAGGAAAACCTAAAGCTTGTGTATGGAAGTTTTATTTAAAAAAGGGCAAGGGGGAAAGCAGCAAAAGGTGGATGTAAATTCTGCAATTGTGAATATGTAACTCACATAGAATAATAAAACATTACTTAAAAGGTCTTGTGAAATGTCTCCAGTTTTAGTAAGAGAAAGACTCCTTAATAAAGCTGTTTTCTTCTGCGTGTACATCAGACGCTTCTTCTGATCAAGCTCCAAGCATACAAGAATCTTCTGGTGAAGACAGTATGGTGACAGGAACAGAAGAAAATACTGAAACTGAGGCTGGTGGTCTTCTGCTTCTTTCACCTTCAAAATCAAATTCTATAAGCAATTTTGACTTTGAAGCTTTAGCTCAGCAGCTTTCTGTTTCTGAGTCTTCTTCGGGCCAGTTCTCAGGCATCAACTTGAGAAACCTCCAGCTTTACAGGAAACACCAAGCAGATCAAAAGTCACAATCAAAAGCTTTAGGATTTTTGGACAGGATTAATACACAAGAAGAATGTGACCTTGATTGGACGTTTGCTAAAACTATATGCAAGCAATTTGCCTTTTCACATAGTAGAAAATCCCTACATGAAGGAATTTTTTTGCCAAGCTACCTTCAACCTACATTACCAGGCAGAAACAGCTTGCTGGACACAGTAGCAACTGCAAAAAGCGGTCTTATTAAAAGAAGTCTCTCATGCATCCGTTGTATTAGATGGTTGGAGTGATATTCAGAATGAAAGAATCAACTTCATGGTGACAACTTCCCAACCATTATTCTATAAATTCTTAAGCATGGAAGAAGAAAACCCAGCCGAGTACATAGCATTACACTTTGAAAATGTAATTCAAGAACTCAGTCCTGAAAAAGTATTTTCAGTTGTAACTGATAATGCTGACAAAATGAAGTCTTCTTGGAGTCCTGTGAAAGAAATATCCACATATTCAGTTCTATAGTTGTCCCGCTCACACATTGCAACTTTTGGTTCACAATTTTGAAGGTTTACAAACATTTTATTCTCATCACACAAAAAGTTGTCGAGTTTAAAAATAAAAACACATGCCAGCTGCTGTGTTTCTGCATTGCTGAAAACAACAGTGCATACTTTCAATATTGAGCTACAGGATGCGCTTCAACAATCAAACATTTGCAACAACTTGCAGATTGCAAGAAAGCTCTGCAGCCAACTGCTGCAGGAGAAAATGTTGTCTGTCTCACATTTGTCCACAAGACATTCAAACTGACATTTTGATGGGGATGTCTTTGGGTCCACAATTCCAAGTTTTTGTCAATGTTACAACCTGCTGCCCAAATTATATAAAAGTTGAAGGACAACAAATGTACACTTACAGATGTCAAATGAGTTCCCAAACATTTAGCATCATAACTGACATTTGTAAAGAATCTCCACTTTCAGCATGTGAGAAAAAACAAAAGTAGCGATGGAGAAAGTGTGTCAGCTGATCACTGATGCACACAATGCAGCTTACCTGTTGGATGCATGATACCAAAGAGAGAAGGCGAGTTTGATGCAACATGCAAACCAATAGTGAACTTGGCCAAATTTAAGTAATTTCTTGATGACCAATCAAATTACAATGAATTGGTGGAAATACTTTTGTCCTCGGTATTCATTAGCGATTGTTTCCAATATCCTGTTAAAACATCAAAGCTCTACTGCTTGAGCAGACTGTAACTGGTGAATGTGGGACAACACTCATAGCAAGAGCAGAAACAGGAAAGAAACAAAAACTGCTTGGAAGATGGCAACCCTATATCATAATCCAAGGTTAATGAAAAAAATCTGGACAAAGATGAATATTTTTCCAAGTGTCTCTTCCAATTCAGAAGCAAGCGAGAGTGAAAAGAACAGAAGTCAAAAGGAAGATGACCAACTAAAAACAAAGTGAAAACAGGTTTAATAGTGAAATAAATTTATTTCAACATTATATAAGAAATTACTGCTTTTTAAAATGTAAATAAAAGAGATATTTGACCATATGACCTTTTTTTTTTTTTTTTTTTTAAACCAATTTTTGACTAGCCAATTGACTGGGTGAACTTTTGACTGGTCAAATACCCAACCCTAACAGGTGCACACAAACCCAAAATATTTTTAAAAAATTATTTCAGTGCTCAACCTGAGAGAAAGGCATAAAGCAAGCTCAATGAAAGAGCTATCAATTGTATCTTTGAAATTTCCAAGCACCTGTACGGATGTTGCTGAAAATTTTAAAGCTAGCGTTTTACTGATATTATTTGAAGAAATGGAGTTGACTACAAGATATACAGAACAAGGAAGTGGTTAGTATTAAGAAAGTTTCAAATGTTTTTGCAGTTTTAGAATAAAGCCTGCTTTCATTTTTGTTTAAAAGATAAAATCCCAAAACATCTGTTGCTCCTTATTTGCCTACATTACTATATCCTGAGCTTCTTACAAATACTAGATTAACATTAT